ACCGCACCACTCAGCTTGGTGTCATCTGCAAACTTGCTGAGGGTGCACTCGATCCCACTGTTTATGTCATTGATGAAGATATTAAACAGTACCGGTCCCAATACGGACCCCTGCGGGACACCGCTCGTCACCAGTTTCCATCTGGACTTTGAGCCGTTGACCACTACTCTCTGGATGTGACCATCTAACCAATTCTTCACCCACCAGACAGTCCACCCATCAAATCCATACCTCTCCAGTTTAGAGAGAAGGATGTTGTGGGGGACCGTGTCAAAGGCCTTACAGAGGTCCAGATAGACGACATCTGTAGCCCTTCCCATGTCCACTGATGTAGTCACTCCATCACAGAAGGCCACCAGGTTAGTCAGGCAGGACTTGCCCTTGGTGAAGCCATGCTGGCTGTCTCAAATCACCTCCCTGTCCTCCATGTGCCTTAGCATAGCTTCCAGGAGGATCTGTTCCATGATCTTCCCAGGCACAGAGGTGAGACTGACTGGCCTGTAGTTCCCCGGGTCTTCCTTTTTTCCCTTTTGAAAAATGGGGATTATGTTTCCCCTTTTCCAGTCAGTGGGAGCTTCACCAGACTGCTGTAAGCAGATAGAGGGAAATGCAAGCTACAGAAAGGGTTATCAGCACTAATAGAAGCAGGTGACTATTCTTTAAATGGTTTTTCAGTAATTGTTGGCTGAAATAGCCTCTTGCATAAAAGCCTTTAAGAAAACAGCTTTCAATTGCTGATTTTTATTGCTCCTTTTGGAGACTGTTTATTTCAAATCACTAGTCTGAGCAATTGCGTTGAAATTTCTGGTATAATAGCAATTATAAGATGTCACCTGGGTAGGAAATAGATTTTATTTGGAGCTTGCCAAAAAGTAGTATAAAACCATAACTTTAGGGCTCCTTCCAGTTCTCATTTCACCTATCTTATCACTTGTTTGTGAACTGCATATTCTTACAGACTTGGAAATGTCCTTTGTAAAGGTAGGCATCATCAAATACTAAGTGCTGCTTAGTATTTCAGTCCTGCTGTAGCCCAAAATTCCAGATCTTGTCTCTCCAGGAGCTGTCTTAGTAAATTCTTATATGTTGGCTAACCTCTTAATTCAAACATTATTTAAAACAGCACTTAATATATTGTATTATTTAAAGGGGTTAAATAATTACTTTAGGCTTTAAAAGGCCTTTGTGCCACTAGTGATTATTTACTATCTTAAATATTGCTAGCTTTGCCTGCAGAATGATCTTAGTTGTAGTTTATTCATACTTAACAAATAAAGAAACCTATAAAACTCCAAGTTTATAAATGGTGCTGCAGTTGTTAGCCTCATTAAAATGAGGGATTTATGTGATGGGTTAATGGGTTAAAGAATACCTGCAAAAAGATAGGTGACATTCCACGAAGAAAAGAGAATAATGAAAGCATTGTTCGTTCGGGATAATGTTGGAGGACAAGTCAGGTTGTATTTGAGTAGCCAGTGTCCATGCTGCAGAGTGGTTGAATTAGCAGCTCAAATGGTTGCCAAACTACCAGTGGTTGTTCTTCACTTGGGCACTGTGCCTTGCTAATTCTGTTGTTTTGCTTTTGGACTCAATCTGATATCTCCATATGGTGCAGCAGTATGTGTGTAGATTTACCAGATAAGATGTCTTGTGGGGTATAAATGTACCTCAGTCAGTCCTTGGTATATTCTGCTGGCTCTTTTCACTGCTTTAAGGCTGTAGTGAATGTTCTCTTCCCTGTGCTGCCTAACAGCTCTCTGCTCAGTTATTCAGCTTCTGAAAATAATTTACAAGAATTGTCTATGTGCAGACTCCTAAACAATTTTATAGTTAAATCAGGACCTTTCCCTTTAAAAAAAAACCTCAAGCTGGTAGGATTGTGAATTGAAATGCAGTGTTGTAAGTTAAAGGGATGGAGTTATTGTAGAAGAAACAGTTCTGCTCAAAATGTCAATGTTGCACCATAAATATTATAATCTGTATGACCTTTATTTTGCAAACAATGAAAAATGTTTGTTTTACACTTGTGAGCCATTTGGTCAATAGCGAACGCAGCAGTGAGTTAGGTGTACTCAGAAGTAAAATCAGAAATTTTAGACTCTTCAAAACAAGGTGTAGGGTTAAAGCTTTCATGTCATGCAACCTAAACAGCACATGTGAAGTTCAGAGTTTACTATCCATCTAGTCTACTAGCCATAAAAATGCACATCTTTTTTCTTCTGTTAGCTAAAGCTACGTTTGTGTTTATAATCTGAGATGTAGCAAACTTAAGATTCAGGCCTCTTACCTTACTGATTTGGAGCAGGGATTTCAACACAGTTCTCCTGTCTCAGAACTGTGCCCTACTGTGTTCTGAACTTCTGCTGTTTTGTTTCTTAATTGGTACCAAGTACTCAAATGTTCATGGCTTGAGAAAAGCAAAGCAACCACTTGGTAGACTGATGATGGACAATAAGTGCTTATCTATTAAACAGAAACCCAACTTTTCCAAAACTTCTGAAGTCAGTAGTGGTAGAAGGCTATAAACTGAGGACTGAAGTCATTAACATCTCTTATGATATGGTATGGTATGTGCCATGATTGGCAATGCAAGAGTTCTTTAGCGTGCAATAAATTTATCCTGTGGCCAGTGTACTTGAACTTGGATGCAATGTTGCTGAAGGGCTGCAATGTGCAGGTTACATTTATTTGCAATGTTTCTTTTTAGTTGATGGAAATTTGCTTGGAATATTCACATAATGACTTCTATTTTAAATTTCAAATTGTCATAGTCCTCAAATAATAACAACATGTCTACACCAAGAGTACTTGTGACTGTGCTTGCACTTTTCTATACAATGCCATGCTACCCTTTCATGTTTGCTTCTCCCTGCAATGCACACAGTATCATTGTGATATTTTCATTTGCTCAGTCAAGCAGTGTTTCAAGCTCAAAAGGAGTATTTCCAGGTAAAATAAATTAGCTTTTGCAGTAAACATCTCAAGGGGAAAAAAATCTCCTGGATGTGTGGTATAGAAAGATTGTAATTATAGCTAAAATATGCAACTTACATTTTACATATAATTTGTATCTTTTAGGAGAAACCTGCATGCTATTTATCAAATATATGGATTTTTATATCTGTTTGTAGTCTCAAAAATCTTGGGAGCAATTCTGACATGGTAACTTCTGCTGCTGTTGAAGTCTTGTAACATGCTCTTTTTACAGAGCTATGTCCATCTGGGAAAGCAGTCTACAGATTACTACCATGTGCAGTATACTTGGAGCTTGGTTTGGAGCATTTCCTATTCCTCTTGATTGGGATCGGCCTTGGCAGGTTAGTATGTACACCTTTATCATAAGTATAGAAATACTCATTTTCTGGATATGCACACTACACAAAATTGCTCTGAAACTGTACAGGTATATTGGACTTACTCATAAGCTGTTCCTACAGGGTTATGCCGAACATTTAAAAAGTCATCGGAAGCATCTGTGCTTACAGTGTAAGGAAGTAAAATACAAAATTTTTACCTCCATTTTTAATAGGTTCTTTGTTATAGATTTACGAGTGTCTGTCACATGCAAATTTTATCATGAAATAGAGCTGTAAGTATGTTGATAAGAAGCAGCTAGACAAGCAGGAGGAGAAATGTGAAATGATGGAGATGGCTCCAAGTTTGTCTGCCTTCAGTCTGGTAGCTTTTATTGTTTATAGGTCGGGAAGGAAAGATGCTTTCGTAGTGTTTTAGTTCCCCTCTATCTTCCATAAAAGCACTTAACAGAATGCATTTTAAATGGATTTAGATTGATTTGTGGAAATGGTGTGGCCAAAGCACTGTACTAAAAACTTACCTTCTGATTTCAAAGGCAGGCAAGCATTAGCTTTGTAGTTGCACAATAAAAAACGTGAAGCTGGCATTGCAGATTCTGTCTTTATAAATTCACATGTCTGCTATTTTCTTAATATTTTTGTTGGCATGGAGAAATGATTCCATTAAACATAACTGAAGTCTGCAATTGTCATAAAATGATGACACTAGTAACACTTTTTCCTAAATGTCCTCAGTGGATGTTTTCTTTCCTCAGGTTACCAAGCTCATATACTCACAGCTGAGTAGTATCTACGCAGATGGTTTCAAAGGTTTCGTTCAGAACTCAGTATAACAGGCAACACACTTTTCTCTCTGATATTGTAGAGACTTCATGGCTTACAGCTGCAATGGAAATTTGTCTTCCATAAGTTGCTAACAGCCTGCTTTTATGCCACCAGCCTTCCTTTACAACAGTGTAATGAGATATTAAAATTTCTACTTAAAAATAATAGAAGAGTAGGTTAATAATTTAAGTAAAAAAAAAAAAAAAGGTTTTCTTCCCTAAAAACACTTGGTTTTACTCTTGTAAGACGTTTCACCATCAATCTGACATAGGTATGTGTTGGCACTAGTTTAATTGTTGATGGACATGAATGTAACCCAAAAATCAAGGGATTCATTGAAATGCAGTCTCATATCTTCCTGTGAAGTCTTATTCATTTTCCTGTTCCAATGAGAGGCAAGCACTTTTTTCTTGCTCAGCTAGGATTTTAAAATGGCATGTCATATCTGGCAGGTTTTATTTTATTCCCAAAATCTCAGACTTTGCTAATATGCTGTGTATAAAAATTTCACCTTTTATGCACCAATGATATAAGGAAAACTTAAATTATAAAGTCAGTAGGCTCCAATTAACAAAACAAGGACACTAATAAATTAAGACAGATACTTTAAGCACAGTTAATTTTTCACTTTATTTGTCTATTCCCCCATCTTCCCATAGTAGGAGACAAAGTTTTGTAATGGTCTGGCAGCTTTTTCTGTTTGAAAACTCTTCCAAGTCAATAAAAGCCAAACATGACTGACGGAAGTTAAGCTCTATAATCTATACTTAGACATCTAAAAAGATATTGTCTGACTCTTCAGAACAGCAAAACCATCTGCAGAAACCTCAGATACCATAACTTGTCACTAGCTGTTTCTGGGCATGAATGCTCCCCAGAGAATTCAGGCAGCAGCAGAAACTGTATGTCTGCATTTCCCTTTTCCTTCACCATCTCCACCCTCATTTCTGACATACTCCTGATACCAAAGCTGGCAGCGGAGATTTTTCTGACTATCAGTTCCTGCATCAAAGCAATTTTCCTGTGCCTAGATCCAGAGCATTTGCTGCTGGGTTCTTTCCCTTAAATTCCCCTCATTTTTCCCCATCCCCACGTCTCCGCCTTTTACCTTGCAGGGTTTAAAATGGTGGGGTGGGGGAAGAAATCGTGCTTTCCATTTTGGGTCTGAACTGCTTGATCATTACTTTAATCATCATGTGAGCAATTCAAGAGCAGCCACAGAGAAATTTGCTTATCAGTCCTGCAGGCTGCCACTTCAACGGTCTTAGAAAACGGCAGTTTTAAGTGCTAATTTTTTAAGATCTGCTGTATAAGGGGAAATGAAAGAAGTTCTTGTTAAAATGCAATGTAGTTTTTTTAAAGTCAAATTATCTCAGCAAAGCAACACAGTGAAGCACCAAAATGGTAACAAATCTTCAAGGCAGAAATGAACCCCTTCAAAGTAGCTTGTTAGAGATCCTGTTCACAACTCAGAAGTTTTCAATCACCTATTGATAATGTAGTATTTTTGTGAAGGTGATCTCTTACATATTGGTCACCAAGGCACATGGGGGGGCGGAACCCAAAGTGTCCTGGCCAGGCATTTTCAATAGTTGCCCAGGAAACGCTGCTTCCCGGTTCAGCCAAGCTGAGATATATATGAACCAGGTTCTCTGGAAACACTGAACTTAATGCAACAGTTGACCTGAGTCTTTTCTATCCCCAGTGAGTAATATGGATTCAACAACACAGGTATTGAGTTGCACGTAGTAGCTCTGCGTTGCTGTCTCAGAAATCTTCAGAGCCAAGAGACATTTCCGTTGTTGTTCAGAAGTTCACTGGGCACTAGCAACCCCTTTTTGCAAGAGTATTCCTTTTGCTACCTGATGTCAGGTGATTACAGAAACTCATAGTAGATTCTTTCACTGTAGCAATGGAAGAGGAGAGGTCCTTTCTGTGTTGTCTTCAGCCTAATGCAAGGGAAAGAAGAATGGCCCTCATAAAGGATTCTGCTGTTGCAGATCTGCTTTGTTTGGGAAGAAAATCTTTAGTGCAGACTGCCTATCTCCTGAGTGACTGATATAACCACTGACTCATTGAACATAAAAATACCTGTACATAATGCAGTTGCAGGAAGAGGTTCTTTATTAAAAAAAAAAAAAAATTAAAAAATCCCCCCAAAAGACATGGACTGTCAGTGTTTTGTATAGAACCTAATCCAGCTGGTATGCTTATGGGAACACCTACAAATTAAGTCCCAAGCGAGGTCTGAAAAAAATCATGTAGATCTTAATGTAGGCTTAAAACTAATCAGAGCCCAGTTGAAACCAAATTACTTCTAGGCATCTGCATGAATGAAGTATTAAGCTGTCATGCTTTTGACATCAGCTGTTTCTCGTATTAGCCTAAAAGCAGAGAGCTTGAGGATTACAATTTTGGATTTACCCTTCTCAGATCCAAAAAGGGACTCAAACGGAATAGCTTAGTCTTTGGACTCAAGACCAGCCTTTGAGATAAGAACAGGTTTCATTAGTGATTGTTTTCCTTTTTGTATTTTAGACTTCCTGTTGTAAACAAATTTATTGTTTTTTAAATCTGTAGTGGAAATGGTTCTGCTCTAGAACAGAAAACGTGGTTTAAATCTTATTATATGGGCAAGACTGAAGTGGTATAATCATTTTAGAGAGCAGTGTTAAGGCCTTTAAGCCTGCTTGTTGCAAAATCTGGTTCTGATGTTTCTATTGGTTATGGTTAGTGTTTATGGTGTAACAACGTGTTATGGAAACACAGCTGCATTTGTACCTTTAGCTTCAGAAAATTCATTATTTAAGGAGTGTTGTAGACAAGGCGAAATTGGTACTACAAGAATTGGATGGGTCAACAAGAGTTGAGAAATATCACATGATAAAGCAAACCAAAGGGTTGCTGCTGCTGCTGCCCTTGTGCTCTGTTTATAGCCCTGAAATGTCAAAAGTTGGCAAAAACATCTGACATCCAGCAGGTGCAGAAATGCACTATGAGTTTGGAATGAAAAATGCTATTGCTATTGATTTAGCTCTGTTAGAACAATCTAATATAACTTGAGGTTCACACAAAAAGTTAAGCACTGTGTCTTGAATTGGTGTATTTTTCCACTTGACCAGGATTTAGCACTTTATCAAGTCTTGTGTCTACACTCTAAACTGTAGACAATTTCAGAGTGTCTACAGTGTACTTTTAAATTGACTGTAATCCAGTTCAGAGAGTGGAGTATGTAAAGCCACTCCTGTGAAGTCAGTTTTGTTCATAGAAATGGCTTCAAATGAAAATGGCCTGTAGTCACTCACCTGAAGCAAACAAGAGGTTGAAGGAAAGAGAGTACAGAGGATGCAGGAATTCCAGTAGAGTATTGAATAAAGCTGCCTGTGCTTTTCTGTAAGGCACCTGTTGTCTGAATTGCCATACTGATACATATGGCAGTTCTTCTGGTGTCATTTTGTTGCTGCTTTGTGGCCTTAAAAGAAAAAGCAACTGAGGGCAACATTAGGTTCACTTTTTGCTAATCTATTTCCCAGTCCTTAGCTGTCTGTATTGGGACTAGCATCTTTTCCTGCAATCTTAATAGAAGAACTGAAAAATTACATGGTACTCATCCCTTTACATCATGGTTGAGATACATTAGTAGAAGCTGAGAAGTTTGTAGTACCATTACCTATATCTTACCTGATCAGAAAATCAGATGTCAATACGTCTTGTGTATCTTTCACTAGAATTTGTTTTTACTTCAAAGTACTTCAGACTTCTGTGGAGTAAACTTGGTATGAAATTCATCATCAAAATTATGATTTGGCTAAAACCAAAATGCTACTTCATCCTAAGTTATTAAAAAACCAAGGAAAACATACTGGTTCTTTACACATACCTCTTGTGACACGCAACAAAACTGAGATAAATACAGATGTCTCAGAAAATCTTCACTTTATTTTCCATGTTCATGTTTGAAAAATATTGCATACAGGGGATATTCAGATTAGTGGGCCTGTCTACATTTAAAAATAATAATGTAAAATGCATTTTTTTAGCATACAACAACTTTTACGCTAAGTAAATACTACTTAATAGGAACAGAATATTGTTTTAGAAATAAAATGACATTAATTATCTGAATAATGTTTCAGAATGGAAATGAAAAATGTATAAAGCATTTCTGTTAGAAGTAGAAAATATATTGCTGAAAGTCAGATGGTATCCTGATGATTCATTGTTTTTCATTATTCTGTTGTTTCTTAAAGTAACTTTTTAACATAATTTGGCCATGACTATTGCCCCTCTGCTAGTTTTCAGAAAAATTTATTTTGTAATTATGCATAACAGTTGGTCAGGGAGGCCTACTTGCTCTGTGGTTGTTCCTGGTTATAGGTCTGCAGAATTAAGCCTATCTCAGACAAAGGTAAAGATAGTTTCCTTACAGGAATGCAGGTAGTCCCTACAGTAGTTACATTTCTGTATTTTAAAAAACAAACAAACAAACAAAACCCCAAAAACAAAACAAAAAACAACCACCAAAAAAACCCCAGACTTTTCAAGACTTACTGTGCAAGGCATGTTTCAATTTATTGTAAGTGTCAGACTGGTAGAATAATTTTGCCAATGTTTGGCGATTACTATCTAATTCTTAAACAATTTCAAAAATAGTTTGCAACACTTAATTATGATCATTTAAATAAGGCTATTCTAGACAATGTTCAAAAGGTTTAAAGAGTTGTACCTCCATCTCTAGTTGCCTCTAGCCCTCTGATGCACAGTGGGTATGTAAGGGTTACAGTTAGTTAGGACAGTTCTAGCAAAGAAACAGAAAATAACTTCCTTTGTTACAGTTGCTCAGTTTTTTCAGATTGCCTATTTTAAGTTGATGGTGTACTTTTAATAACCACATGTGATTCGGATCCTGGCTTCATGTGTCATCTGAGAAGTGGCACCTTAAAGCACACCACCACTGAAACAGAACGGGATCATTTAGGTGTTACTAGACACATTGTGACACATCCTTTCTCTGCTCAGCCTGAGGTAATTTAATTGCAGAACAAGATGGTATAATTAAAACCTTATCAGCACACTTTATATGCGGTGGAACTAGTATTCCAGACACCCCATTCATCATTGACAACAACTGAATTTTGGAAATTGTGAAGTTCCTGGGTTTATTGCATGTTTTGGTAACAGACTTTTAAAACACGTTCCTGGGTTTACTGTGTGCATGCCCACTCATCCACCTGCTTTTTTGTAGCATAATTTTGATCTGTAGTACCTGTTACTAATGATAAAAAGTGACTCTGAAACAATATTCTGCCTACAGTGTTTTCATATCATTAGGTAAAAGTGAAATTGATGTATTCCCACTTTATACTGGATACCACAAACATAATAGATAGGGCTGATAGAACTCAAATGACTGCCATGTAATTTAGCCAATATGACTGTAAATATTAGCCTAGATACCTCTCAGACATTTGTAACCTGAAAAATAATCTGGAGAATCTCAGGTACAGTTCTTGGTGGTTACTCGAGTAAGCTGAAATAGGACTATAAACTTTCACACTGCTTTGTTATTCTTAACACAGCTCAGAGAGTTTCCTTCTCGTATTTGCTTTTGGATCTACTACCTGCTGTGTAACTTCTGTTGTAAAAGAAGTTGCTTTATGTGAGTAGAAGGGATAATATCCAGTGTTTGAGGTTTTTTAAACAGAGGTAGAAGCTTGTTCCACTTTAGTGTGGTTATCACTGTTTATTTAATGATATGTTTTCTTAATGTAAACCTTAATGGTGAGATCCAAGGCAGTTACGCTTGCTATAACTTTAGAACACAAATCCACAAGAACAACTTCTAGTTACAAATGCCAGCCTGAAAAAATCTTCACACTTTCTTCTCCTCAGCATGTGCTTGTCAACACACACATTCTGTACAATGTGATAAGACACTTCTAGTTAACACGTGCATGCAACCAAAATAGATTAAAGGCGTACTGAAATTTTTAAGACAGTACAGCCTAAACAATCAAGAATTTAAGGCATGTTAGACACAGGGAGGGAAAGTAATTGTGCTCACTTACTCAGTTTTAAAATGAAACAAAAATTGTTACATAGCTTTCTAATTGACAGTCAGAAATGGTTCTTTTGAAATAGTAAGCATACAAAAAAATTGAGTTTAGGAATATAAGAAAAGCACTCATCTAAAGAATGGGACCAGTTTACTAAAAAAAAAAAGTAAGTACAGTAGGTTGCCCCACTGTATTTGCATTTGTATAATTAAAGTTCCAGCAGTCAGCTGCTTACTTTATAGTATCTTTAAAAACTTTATTAGGGTGTTGCTGCTCTGGCCTGTAAGAATCTGGCCTTTATGTCCTTATCAATGTCTATGTAATTCCCGTTGTATGGGATGCAAGTTACAGACTTATAATAGATGACAAAACTGTCATGCAGTTGGAATTCTGGTTTAACTAGCTACATGCATAGTACAGCAGAGCTAGATACCTTGCTGGGGTCTTGCAACATGCTCTGCTTTCCCTGCAATATGCTAAGCATTCTAACGTAAGTTCATAGGTGTTCTAAAGAGCACTGAGGAAACTAGCTCATTTGTGTCCTGAAAGGTTGGCAATTCCTATTTTGAGTCCTTATTCTTAAAATGAGTTCTAATATATACTACAAACCTTGCAGTTCTGCAGTGTCTGTTTAGCTAGCCTAAAGAAATCTCTGTTAGGTCCTATCACTGCTGCCAGATGAAAAGAAGAGGCAAAATGAAAATTTGAACAAATGGCAGAAGTCAGGATCGTTTTGCATTAACCACTGGCTCATCCTCTGTCCCTTAAAATGCAATTTTTGTGCTTGTTAAGCCTGTAGGTGGAGATTTGTTTTTGCCAAGCTGCTGTTTGGATTCCTAGTAATCATATACAGGTTGTTAAAAGTGCCCTTTTCTGCACGTATTTGATATGTAAACTGACTTTTCTATTAGTCTGTGAGGATGGTAGCTGATGCTTACCAGCTGCTGGGACAGACAAGGCATTTCATGACAGTCTCCTAAAGAATGTTCTGTCCTGTCTCCTGCGCTCCCCACACTTTTCTCTCCAGATCAACCTTCTTTCCCCTCAAAAAAAGTGCAGTTAGGCAATGCTGCCTAACACCTTATTCCCCTGCTGCTGACCCAGCCTAGACATGACATCAGTACTGGGGTAGGATATGTCAGCTTCCTCATGGCAGAAGGGAGCATAAAGTAGCAGAAACTGAGCTGAATAGTTCTCAGGGGATGAGAGGGGCGTATTCAAGTTGCATACTTTAAACAAGAGGAATGGAATCTCTTAAAACAGGCAGACGGACATTAGCTGCTTAGATTTTTATGACTTAGAGGCAGTTCATACCAAGTCAGGGAAGCTAAACCAAGTTTAAGAGATAATATGAAAGACAGGGCAAAAGCAGACCGATCAAGCAAGTCAAATTCATTTAAAAAGGTCCAGCGGAAAGTGATTGGGTCTCAGAAAAATGAGACCAGCAGCTAATGCAAAATAAAGCAACCCACTTTCATAGACGGAGAAGCAGCATATGCAAGGGCTGTTATTTTAATGCAGCTGATGTGCTTAAGAGCTACATCTTAATGTCTCTCTGATAACTTGCTGTTTTAGATATACCCATGGGTGCATCTGGCTATATGTAGCCTAAAGGCCAGCAGTCATGAATAAAAGGTGCAGAACTAGTATCATTGCCCGTTTGTTAGGGGTTTTTTGCCCCGCCTTGAGGGTTAGAGAAAATAGCGTAAGGACAGCAACGCTCTTAAGTCCAGGCTTTTAACTCCTATGCTTAGGGAGTTTTCAAAAGGCCAGTCAAACTGCCTTCAGAACTACTTTGGGCCATCTGACCAGCATAATAAGAATGAGTACCTGGCCTAGTACCCTTCTGTTCTATGCCACTAGAAGGGATGAGGTGGTGTTTCTTTTCTGTCTCATTCATAGATAGTGAGATGGAGTGTTTTATGGTTTCTTCCCTTTGCCCCCCATCTTTGCCAGCTGCCATTGGTGAGAGTTGGATTTCAGAGGTCAGAGACTCATGTTAAGTGAGACAGCCTGAAACTTCTGTAAGGTAACACTGATTTTTTAAAAAGCAAAATTGAATGTTTTGGAAGACACACAGGGGCATAATTAATATTAAATGTCACATGACTATTGAAAAACCATGTTCCAAGTTGCAGTTCAGTCAGGTAAAAGAAGCTACAACAATAATCAGAGAGCCTTTTAATCGTACCAACAATCGCCCACTATACACAAAATACCAAAAGATACAGCGTCAATGGGTCACCAGGGACACTGACTCTCTAGTTAAGGGACCGTGAAAAATTCAGAGTCCAACATCTAGCTATACTTCTGAAAAGCAAATAGGCAACTACAGATTCACCTAATGTAGGTAAAATTTAATGAAGGATCATTGATCACTCAGAGAACTTGATGTAGAAAGACCACTGAATTATGAAGCCTCTGTCCGTAGTTTTGTGGATATTAGAGTGGTATTTGACTTCATCAGTGGATAAGAAAGTATGACTCCTGTTCCAACTGAACATTACTGAGTGAGCAGCTGGGGTTTCAGGGACTTTTTTATTGTTTTGTCCTTTAGACATGTGTAATATGCAAAATGCTAGAAATAACTTAATTACATTTTACTTAGAAGTTGAAAAGATCCACCTGAAGCCTAAGTTTAGCCAAGGCCACAAACTCATGTGAGTTTTAAATATACATAATATCTTACCATGCCAAAGCATCTCAAGGTTTTTTATAGAACATCTACAATACCACTGTTAAATCAATGAAAACAAGCAAGTCTTTGGTTTGAGAGGCAAGAGCCAAAATGTTCAGCAACAAAAACAAGTAGCAGAGACAGAATGTCCAGAAATGGAAGAATGAAACAAGGTCAATAAAGAGTACCTAAGGCACCTTGTTTATAGTCATCTTTGCTACACTCCTTAAGACCTCCAAATAATATATGAAACTGCAAATGCTAAGGAATGTGAAGATGAAACAGCAGAGGACAAAATACATTACTCTTACTCATAGTTAAAATTCCCATGATCAAAGGATGTGAATTAATATATTTCTCCAAGTGATAATGAAGTAAAGAGAAGAATCAGAGCTAGGAAAATGAATGAAAGGAGGAACAAGTACCATTAAGAGTAAGTTCATTTGATATTCATGAATTGCAAGTCAAAATGAAGTAGAAAAGCAGGCTGGATACTGAGATGTGGATATTTTCTTTAATGTCTAGTGCATTTCTCAGTCTCAAGTACTATAGAAGGTGGAAATATCCCTCTTTAAAAATTGAAAAAATAGGAGAGTGCAGTCTGTACTTGCCTTCAGGAACATGCACTGTACAGCAGGAAGTGCAAAATTGTCCTTGCAAAAAAAAATATGCAAAGGAGAATTTTGAAGAGGGATGGGAATTCAGTTTATTCTACAATAAATATTTTTAGTCACCAACTTAGTTGAGACTTTCATCAAATGCAGTGTGTAGCTGACTGGTAATATAAGCTACATCTGAGGACAGATTGGTTAAGTTTTGTTTTGGCCACTCCTCCCTGCAAATCAATACCAATTTAAAAAAAAAAAGGGCTGGGGGGAGAATCCATTACTTCTTTGCCTCAGTACTAGATGGTTTGTGAAAGTGAGTCAGCTGTATTGAGTCAGTTCCTTGTTCTTATACTAGGAAATAGAGCTTATAATTAAAGCTCTCTTTAACATAACTGGCTTACTACACGTTTGCTGAACTGGGTGCAAGATGTTCTGTCAGTTTCCAAATTTACGTTCCCTCCCTACTGCTAGCCAGAGGGAAATTCATCTCTCTGCCTCATTTTCAAGACAAAAAAAAAGAAAGCAAGCCCCTCTGTCCATCTCAGTCTCTGGCCTTATTTGAGTATTAGTTCCTTTATACACACTTCTAGAAGTTTCAGAATGCCATGAGAGATTGGAAGGAGAAATTGCCAAGAAATCTGTAGGTTTCCAAACGTGTGCAGCAGAACAGGAAGTTAGGTTAGCTGAACACTTCAGGGGATATAAATACTTGTAAGTTTTTTTCACATAGTTTTGGGAATATCGAACTAAAGTCTGCAATAGCCAGAAGCCTGGTTACATTTTAATGCATATTAATTAAAAACTGTACAACAGCATTTAGTGTTCATGAAGATGATTGTTACACTTTTGGCATTTTTAGGAAAGCACATCAAGCTTTAAAGTAGAATAAGACTGTACTTTCTTTCAGTACCTAGATTACACTGAGAATTTGTGCTCACGAAGTACAAAAAACCACAAACATTTTCCTCATTGTCTGCTTTTACCTTGTGTTCTCCCCTTAGGTATGGCCCATTTCCTGTTCCCTCGGAGCTACCTTTGGCTATGTGGCTGGTCTGATTATTGCACCTCTGTGGATACACTGGAACCGGAAGCAGCTTACATACAAAAGCAGATAACTGGAGCAGAGAGAGACAAGGTATTTCTTTGTGCAGATTCCATACAGACTGTGCAAAAGTTGTTTTTTTTTAAAAGAGAGAGAGAGAGAGAGAGAGATGTATAGTCAAAGCAGAAGACTACCCAAATTCATTTAGAGTATTTCAGGCCAAGCATCTCCACTCAATAAAATCACATAGATGCCGTTTCAGCATGGTGCGGTTTTTGCTTCCTCTAGACTATGTAACCCTGAGAGATTGTACCTTCCAGTCTGAATAAAATATTTGTAACAGATGTGGTGGCTTCTTATTACAAGTTCATTGAATTTGACTTTATTCCTCTGGATTTCACTGGTTGTAGAAGGCAGAATCGTAGTTTTAGCTTTCAAACCTGTAACAAGTTCGCTGTGTACTTAATGCATTGTATTTAAATTCAGTAGAATTTCACAGTAAGCCTGGCCATTGTCAAATGTATCTCACGTGATCAAACAGCAGTTTATGCATCTTGAGCCTATTCTCTTCTTCACTGTGTGTTTCTTTGGAGTTAGAATAGCTATAATAGCTTCATCAAAAACGGTCTTCAGTCCTTTCTGTGTTAAAGCTGAACACTCCACATAGCAGTAGGCTCCTATCTGTCAAGAAAATAAGTTAATTCAATAGCAATATATTTCAGCTGTTCAGTTCTATCTGTGCACTTCTGCATTTTTTTTTCTATAGTGACATCACAAGGTTTGGCTGTGATCTAGAATAGTTACCTGCACGTGTATGCCCCTGTAGGAGAAAAGATTTGTCTTTTGGCCAAAGATCTGGAATGTATTTAAGTTGGTTTGGTTTATAAAGGAAGCATATTAAATAAGCTCTTTGGATTGGCAGTGGGGTCCTAAGGTATTTTTTATAATTAAACAGCAAAAAAGAATTACAGAATTACATGACCAATTTACGTTTCAAAAATAAGACTCTATAAATAAGTGTCCTGATAAGCATTATCCACGCAGTGTGTTAAAATGGTAGTATAGCATTCTCAAATAATTCCTTAAAGATGCTTCCAACATTTTGCTTGAGCAGGGGAGGTCCCTTCCAACCTCACACCCTGTGATTTTAATTCTCTCTGACTAACGCTTATGTAGTTTTTATGAGTGTCTACACAGAAAGAACTATTACTAACAGGGAAGTGCTATTACACAGGTCTGCTTGTTAGCTGTATTCAATAATGTAAATAAATATTGTTAACTGGTAACCAGTCATAAGGTTTCATATGTTGACTGGTAAAGGAAGAAAATGTCAATTGGAAATAGGGTTTTCTGCTTCTTTGCTACTTGGTTTCATTTAGGAGTATCCAGTTTACCTCTTTCGCTAACTTCTGTCCTTGCTCCACAGATACAGGCTTCTCTTTCATATCATTCAGTCTTGCCAGAGTTTTTGGGTCATCACGAAGATCAATCTAGCAAGAAAGATTGCAGTCATGTTGGAGTACTTTTTCTAAACAAAAGTAAGCAGGCTATATGATACCCTCTTTTTAAAGCAGAATTATTTATTTAATGGAGTGTTATATGTATAAAAATGGAGTCATGTCATGATTCAGATCGTGGACCCTTCCTGATCCAAAAGCCCTGGAAATTTAAGCTGTTAACTACTACCTTTAACCCAGAAGGAACAAAACGTTTATTCTGTAATTCAGCTCTTCAATAAGATGTGATCATCTTGGAATACCAGAATGTATATCCAGCAGTGGCAAAAAGATTAACCCAAACATAATACCAACATGTGGGTCACTTCGTAATTGAAGCCCAGTCCACTGCCCACAAGAAGCAAGAGGAAATTCATAGAATCATAGAATGGTTTGGGTTGGAAGGGACCTTAAAGATCATCTAGTTCCAACCTCCCTGCCATGGCCATGGACTCCTTCCACTAGACCACATTGCTCAAAGCCCTGTCCAACCTGGCCTTGAACACTTCCAGGGATGGGGCATCCACAGCTTCTCTAGGCAACCTGTTCCAGTGCCTCACCACCCTCATAGTGAAGAATTTCTTCCTTATATCTAATCTAAATCTACCCTCTTTCAGTTTAAAGCT